CCCAGTCCTTCACATCATATGCTTTTTCCTCCTCCACCCAATGTAAAATCTTTGCTATGCAGTAACCTTAACATGGAGACACCTTAAAGTCAAGGGCTAAGCTGTAGCACAGACACTAGTCTGTGTTTTTCCTTCTGGGTCATTCACACACTCAATACCAATACTTTTCTGCCTTTTCATCAATGAAATAACCCAAATTGCCTTCTATAGTCAGTCACATGTTTCTTTCATTTTCAACTTTTAAAAAATCACTTATGCATTTGGAGGCTATTTGTTAGGATCTGATTCTAGGATTGTTTCACAGAGTTGAACGTGCAAGGCCAGTAAGAAAAGTGACTACATTATTTTCCAGAGGGAACACAGGAGTTTTTTCCAAGTCTTACTTCCTGTCTTCATCAGAAATTAGTCCCATAGGAAAAAAAAAAAATCGCTGACTGAGATTGGTGTGAAATCTAAGATTCAAGAGAAGCAAATAGGCTCTCAACATGAACCACAGTGTCTCAGTACTTCTGATTGCCTGGGATAATGAAAAAACCTTTCTGGAAGGGAGCAGTGTGTTTGTTTGAAGTATATTCAACAAGTTATGAATTTGCTAACTGTTCTTCCTCCTTCTGGGAAAAATAATTGTCTTTTATATGGACAAATATATGAATTTATTCCCCTAGGACATGATGCCATTTTATAGGATTTCAGCATGAGCCATATGTGGTGCTGGGCACCATTCCAGGAAGGGGAAGTAAACTGTCTTTGAACTTGAAATTCAGGTAGACCTGGCTCTGAACCCCAGCTTTGCCATCTATACATAGTGTAACTTTAGGGATATTATTGCATTTTCCCAGTCTCAGTTTCCTAATCTGTAAAATAGGTTGCTTCAAGAATTAAATCGATAACATATATAGCGAGGAGTAAATGCTCAATGAATGGTAGCTGTGATTATGATGATCAGGGTAAAATTCAGTAATTCCATTTCCTTCTCTAGAGCTATTTTTTCTCCTATACTTAATTCTCCACATACCTAAATAACAAGTATCTAGGAAACATTTTAATCCACATCATCAGCTAACAAAGTGACATCATAATTTCACAATGATAGAGGAAAATCAAAAACATCTATAGCCTTTCAAACTGAGCTTCTTGAATTTAAGCAGAACCTTAATACTGACAAATGTGTGTGAAAACCGGAGGGTTAACAAAAGGTTAGGTGGTAATTTTTCATGAAATGTTATATAAATTCTATGTACATTCCACTCACAAAGAACAACAATTTGTTTAATGAAAAAGTCATAAAAATGCATCAACCATCAGTCAACATTTGATTCTAGAATAATCCTTAGGCAATACTGGCAAGATAATTCAGTTGGGGGAAAGATATTTTTCAATAAATGGTGTTGGATTCTGTTGGTGGGAATGTAAACTGGTGCAGCCCCTCTGGAAAACAGTGTGGAGATTTCTCAAAAAATTAGCACTAGAACTCCCCTATGACCCAGCAATAGCACTGCTAGGAATTTACCCAAGGGATACAGGAGTGCTGATGCATAAGGGCACATGTGCCCCAATGTTCATAGCAGTGCTCTCAACAATAGCCAAAACATGGAAAGAGCCTAAGTGTCCATCAACTGATGAATGGGTCAAGAAGATGTGATTTATCTATACAATGGAATACTACATGGTAATGAGAAAGAATGAAATCTGGCCATGTGTAGCAATGTGAATGGAACTAGAGGGTGTTTTGCTGAACGAAATAAGTCAGGCAGAGAAGGACAGATACCATATGTTTGCACGTATAGGAGGAATAGGAAGAACTTAACGAAGGACCATGGGGGAGAAGAAGGGGAAAAATAGTGGGGAAGAGGGAGGGAGGCAGACCATGAGAGACTTTTGAATGCCGAGAACAAACTGAGGGCAGATGGGGTGGGGGAAGAGGAAAGGGGGTGATGGGCATGGAGGAGGGCACTTGTGGGGATGAGCACTGGGTGTTATATGGAAACCAACTTGACAATAAACTATTTAAAAAAATAAATAAATAAATGGTGTTGGATTAACTGGATATTCACATTCAGAGAATGAAGGTGAGTCCCTATCTTTCTCCGAGAATAAAGCTTAAAATGGATCACAGATCTAAAGAGCTAAAACGATAAAAATCTATGAAAACATAGAAGCAAATCCTTCTGACCAGGGATTAAACTTTTTCTGGTACAACATCAAAGCACAAATGACAAAAGGAAAAAAACAGATGAACTGGCGTTCAACAAAATGACCTCTTGTGCTGCAAATGGTTTCATGAAGAAAATTCAGAAAATAAGAGTAAATATTTAAAAACCATATAGGCTTGAGAGGTACTTGTATCCAGAATATATAAGGAACTCTTACAATCTAATAATAAAAAGATAAATAACCAAATGGGAAAAATGAGCAAACTTTCTGATGAGATATTTACCTAAAACATGTAAAATGGCCAATAAGCACCTGAAAAGACATTCAACGTGCATGAGGGAAATGCAAGTCTAAACCACAGTGAATTATCACTTCTCATGCACTAGGAATGCCCCAAAGTAAAGGATAAGAAATAGTAAGTGTCGGTGAGGATGTGGAGAAGTTAGAATACTCATGCACTGTGATGAGAATATAAAGGAGTATAGCTTCAGAAAACATTTCCCCAGTTCCTCAAAACTCAGAGTTTCTTTGTGACTCAAAAATTCCACTCTTCATTATGTGTGTATAATTCCATTTGTTGAAAAGGTCCCCAATAAGCACATCTATAGAGACAGACAGTTGATCAGTGGTTGTGTAGGGCTGCTGGTTGATAAGAGGAGTGACCGTTAATGGGTTATGGGGCTTTCTTTAAGGGAGACAAAAATTGTGGTGATGGCTGCACCGTTTTGTGAATATACTAAAAACCACTTAATTGTACCCTTTAAATGACTGAAATGTATGGCATATGAATTATACTGAAAATAAAGCTGTTGAAAACAACAACAACAGCAAAAAAAAAAAAAAAGTGTTGGATGCTTTCCAGAAGTCAAATTACATAAGGCCAATCTACGGGAGCCAAGAAATGAAAAGGAAATGAGGCATACTTCTTGGCGGGCCTCCCCCATTAAATATAGACATATCAACTTCATTCACTGTTAAACAGCTTTGGTAGTCTTTTTATAAGTTTATTTATGTATTTTGAGAGAGACATAGACAGCATGAGTAGGGGAAGGGCAGAGAGAGAGGGAGAGAGATAATCTCAAGCAGGCTCTGCACAGAGCTCAAACCCATGAAACCATGAGACCATGACCTGAGCCAAAACCAAGAGTCACAAGCTTAACCAACTGAGCCACCCAGGCACCCCAACAGCTTTGATATTTTTGTCTAAAAATGCATCATATCTATTTAACTGTTTTCTTCATCATGGACACAGAATACTTCCAGTCTTGAATTTGATGTTGCAGTAAATATATATGCACCTATATTTGTATTTATGTATATTTATACATACATACTTTAGTATACCTTAGGGAGAATCTATTCATAAGTTTATCTATAGGATGAGTTCCTTTTTTTTTTTTAATAGTTTATTGTCAAGTTGGTTTCCATATAACACCCAGTGTTCATCTCCACCAGTGCCCTCTTCCATACCCATCACCCCCCTTACCCTCCCCCACCCCATCTGCCCTCAGTTTGTTCTGGCATTCAAGAGTCTCTCACGGTTTGCCTCCCTCCCTCTCCCCAACTATTTTTCCCCTTCTTCTCCCCCATGGTCCTTTGTTAAGTTCCTCCTAATCCTCTTATAAGTACAAACCTATGGTATCTGTCCTTCTCTGCCTGACTTATTTCGCTCAGCATAACACCCTCAAGGTCCATCCATGTTGCTACACATGGCCAGATTTCATTCTTTCTCATTGCCATGTAGTATTCCACTGTATAGATAAGCCACATCTTCTTAACCCATTCATCCATTGATGGACACTTAGGCTCTTTCCATGTTTTGGCTATTGCTGAGAGCGCTGCTATGAACACTGGGGTACATGTGCTCCTATGCATCAGAACTCCTGTATAGGATGAGTTCTTTGAAGAAGAATTATAGTGTCAAATTGTCCTGCAAAATTGCACCAATTTCCATTCTTACCAGCACTAAAGGAGAATGCATATTTCTTCACATCTTTGCCTATGCTACCTAGAATCCTAGTAGGTAAAATCTAATATATTTTTCTTTTAAATGGAATTTCTTTAGTTATAAAGAAGTCCAAGCATCATTCCATTTATTTACTGGCCATTGGTATTTATTTTTTTCTGCAACCTTGTTTTTTTTAATTAATTTTTTATGGAAAATTAAAGAAATCCATGAATTCCTTGATATATGTGTTGCAAATATGGCTCCTTTCGTTTTCTAGATTTTTTTTTTGTAATTTACCATATGAATTTCTAAAACCTTATGTTGTGATTTTTGTTGATCTTTTCCATTATGGTTGTAAGTTATGTATCTTCTTTAACAACCATTTCCCCACTTCAAAATTAGAAATAAACAAACCTATACTTTCTATCGATACTTTGTGGTTTTACTTTTTACAGTTAAAACTTTGATACAGAGACTTTGCTTTGATATGACTAATGGGCTACTCAGCTGTATTTATTTTTAAAAATGGCTAACACCTATTTCAACTTTACTCAATTATTTGAAATTTTTCTTTTAGTCTAAGGAACATCTCATAAGCCCATAAATTTGGATCTATTTCTAGACTATTCTATTCCAATGATTTTCTAACAATTTTGGTTTTGGCATTAAAGTTATTTTAATTACTTACACATTCTGAAATGAAGTAAATTAAGTAAAATTTAACTTTAATTACTTAATTATTTGATTTCAGGATATGAATATTTCATTGTCTCATTACTCTTTTCCAAAGATATTCTAGCTATGACCACATGTTTATTTCTCCAGATTCATTTTAAGGTCGCAGAAAAATATTTTGTTGGCAGACTATTTAAGAAGAATTGATATTTTTAGGGTGGCGCGTGGGGCTTGAGGTCGAGAGGCTCCCGTGCCGCTACCAACATGGAGACTTTGTACCGGGTCCCGTTCTTAGTGCTCAAATCCCCCAACCTGAAGCTGAAGAAGCCGCCCTGGGTGCATATGCCGTCGGCCATGACGGTGTACGCTCTGGTGGTGGTGTCTTACTTCCTCATTACCGGAGGAATAATTTATGATGTTATTGTTGAACCCCCAAGTGTTGGCTCTATGACGGATGAACATGGACATCAGAGACCAGTAGCCTTCTTGGCCTACAGAGTAAATGGACAATATATTATGGAAGGACTTGCATCCAGCTTCCTGTTCACAATGGGAGGTTTAGGTTTCATAATCCTGGACCGATCAAATGCACCAAACATTCCAAAACTCAATAGATTTCTTCTTCTATTCACTGGATTCGTCTGTGTCCTATTGAGTTTTTTCATGGCTAGAGTATTCATGAGAATGAAACTGCCGGGATATCTGATGGGTTAAAATGCCTTTTGAGAAGAAATCTATGGATACTGGATTTGCTCCTGCTAATGAAGTTTTAAAGGCTGTACCAATCTTCTGATGTGAACTATAGAAAAGAATGAAGCAGCAGAAAAGAAGCATCTAGTGAAAACATAGGAAGCGTGTGAAAGCTTGAACTAGAATGTCTTGGTATCAAAGAGACAAGCTTATCACAGTATTTTTCCTGCTGGCCTATGCCGACGTACCAACGATGTGAAGTGGCATTTACTTCTTAGTTTTTCATTTCTTAGAGAAAATATACTCCATTTCTACAACTATAATACTGAATAAAGTGATCATTTTTTACAGCCCCCTTAACAGTTTTTAGAGATGACATTTGTGACTTTCAAAAATTAATGTAAAATCAGGAAGCGAGATCCTGTAAGCTGAGAACTCTGGACAGACGATCCGCTTTACCCACGGTGCTTTGCCTTTAAACAGAGTGCGCGACAGTACATTATTTCAGATGTGTCTGCGAGACCGTTTCCTCTACAGTAAGATGTATGAAAGGAGCAGAAATAAATAAGTTTTGTAATTAAAAAAAAAAAAGAATTGATATTTTTAAATAATGATTTGTCCTAAAGACAAGATGTAGCTCTCATGTATTCAAATTTTCTTAAATACCCCTGAATTGGTGAGGTTTTCTTCCTGTAGACCTAGCATATTTCTTTTGAAGCTTATTCTTAAATATTTTTGTTGTTATTGTAAATGAGATATTTTCCATTTATCCATTATATTTATCCTCTGATGATTGATCTGAATATGGGAAAACCACATGCATACTTATGTTTTATAGGTTAAATTACAACCAATCCTCTTTCTGAATTACCTTATTGATGCTAATGTTTGTCTGTTGATTTTCTTGTGTATCAAGTTTTACAATCATATATTATGCATCTGTAAATAATTGAAAATTATTCTCTGTCCTAATATATATACTATTAATATATAATATATTACATAGTATATACATATTTATAAATTGTGTCTTCCACCCAGTTACTGCAGAATTTCTTGAATTGTTTCTGTCTTCAATAAAAATGCCACTACATTTTATATTGATCATAATATCTGCATATATCTACATCTCTATGTATCTAGTGGGGTTCCTCAGTGTTGTTCCAGAAAATCTACAACCATTATTATACAAACTGTAGCTTCTCACCCTGCAGAACATGAGAAAGTTGCCCTACGAGGTATAACTTTTGTTCTCATGCCTTTGCATTGATGTGAGGCATATTTTTGAAACCATTGTTTGTCTTTACAACTGTTCTGGAAGGTAGGTCCTTGGAACTATATAGCTTGTGTGTTAGTCGTACCAATCCCAACATGCCCTTTAAATTCAGTAAATATCTATACAGCTTTTCCTATTATGATAAAAGGCAAAGCTAAGGGTTTTTTTGCTTACATTTTAGCATGTTGCAATCTTGGCATGAATTTTATTTGGTGGTGGTGAGTTATTTTCTAATTAAAAAAAAAAGATTTTATTTTTAAGTAATCTCTACACCCAACGTGGGGCTCAAACTCACAATCCTGAGATCAAGAGTCCATGCTTTACCAACTGAGCCAGCCAGGTGCCCCATGGTAAGTTATTTCTTTAATGCACCACTGACTTACATAAGATTATAGTTCATATTGTACATTCATATGTATTAACATAAATGGTCTGCAGATTTCTTTCTGAGATTTGACATTATATTCAAGCTTTAGTTTTGACCCTATGAAAGGAACTGGAAGTTTCTTTCTGTTTCTGGGCTCTAAAAAAAGCTTATAGAGCTTCCAAATGAAATCTTTTTTACAAAGTTTGAAGAACATCTCTGTGAATTCATCCAAATTCCGTGTGTGTTTGGAGGAGAGGGAGATGCTTTAATAATATTAATTTCTTCTGAGTGTGTAATTCTATTTTTCCTGAGGTCAATTTTGGTAACATTTATTCTTCTAGGAAACTTCATCCTAGTTTTCAAATCTATTTGTGAAGTCACATAAATTGCTTTTTGATTAGTTGTTATTCTTCTGGGTGCCTTATTTCTTTTTTCATTTCTAATCCTTTGACTTATACATTCTTCTTTCTTTTCTTTACTACACCAGCCATTGCTTTACCTTTTTCTTTTAAAAATCCTACCCTTGGGTTTATTTTTTAATTCTATTATTTTGTTTTCTTGCATCTGTTTCTGCTTTCCTACCATTTTCTTGGGTTTACTTATAGCTGTTTTTCTATTTCTTGAATTGGACTCTTAATTCACTTATTTTCCTTTATTTGACCTATATGTGTGAACATTAGGATTATGAATTTATCCTCACATCATGTTTTTGTGGTTTTTGGTTTCTACATATTCTGCTTTTTTTCTTCCTTGAAGAAATGTCTGAAGAGGGTTTTTTATATTTCCAAGTAGTTGTTCTTTCAAAAACTTATGATTCTTAGCAAAGAAAGCATTCCATGAAATCAAAATTTTGTGAAAACACTGGACTGATGACTTTTTCAATATTTATTTCATTTTAAAATAGAGGGGTGGTCATCTGCCAAATCAAGTGCTATACATTTTTTGAAGAAGTACATAGCTTGCCTATTGGAAGGAATAAAAATGAAACTGCCTTGTGATGATTTAACATTATTCAATTTACTGAAGGCCCAGAGAGGATTAATTATTTCATTATGCAGTCATTTCATAAAGATTGTACTACACAATCGCTTTCACTGGGATGAACAGTTAGAGAGGACTTCACCAGTCTGTGTCATAAATCTATAATGTCCACCCTTCTTCACCTTCCTCTGGAAGCCTCAAGAAGGTCTAGGGAAGGGACATCTGGGTGGTTCAGTTGGTTGAGAGTCCTACTTTGGCTCAGGTCGTGATGTCACGTTTTGTGGGTTCGAGCCCCGCTCAGCTGTCAGCACAGAATCTGGAGCCTGCTTCGGATTGTGTGTCTCCTTCTCTTTCTCTGCACCCCCTCCCCCCACTTATGCTCTCTCTCTCTCTCTCTCTCTCTGTGTCTCTCTCTCTCAAAAATAAATACGTAAATAAACTTAAAAAAAAAAAAGAAGGTCTAGGGAAGAATGGAGCTTGGGTCATTACTGCAGAGAGAAGGGATGAGAGCGCCTTTTTTATTCTCTGGGAGTCAACCATCTGCCTCATGGGTAGGAAGAATGGAGACTACAGACAGCGGGGCAGGGCGGCAGAAGAGAATCCACTGTAATCTGAGGGCGAGCAGGGCAGTCTGACTGCCACTTTTTGAGAAAGGAGAGTAGGCTCGAGGGGGTCCTGCAGTCAGTAGTCCTTTCTGATGGGGTTTGTGGGTACCTTGACCATACTTCCCTCCCCCCTGGGAACTCTTCTGGAAGCTTCCACAAACCCCTGCTCTCATACAGCCTTCTGAGTCACATCGTCCACACATCTCATCCTTGAGATTCATTTCAAGCCTGTAAACAATGCTTCCAGCATTTGTTCAGGCTCTTCACACCTCCTTAGACATGGTGCCCGGGGAGCCTCGCCGCCTGTCAATCAGCATCAGCAACGTCATTCGCAAGCCCCAGTGGAAAATGAGAATGTGACACTGTTGTTAAAAAATTAAGACTCCCCAGATGGAAGGGCTCAGTCGGTTAAGCATCCAACTCTCAGTTTTGGCTCAGGTCATAATCTCCTGGTTTTGTGAGTTCAAGCTCTGCATCAGGCTCTGCTCTGTCAGTGTGGAGCCTGCTTGTTAATCTCTCTCTCCCCCTCTCTCTGACCCTCCCTTGTTCACGTGGTCTCTGTCTCTCTCAGAATAAATAAATAAATAAATAAATAAATAAACAAACAAACTTAAAAAAAAAATAAAAAGAACCTTCAGATGGAGACAGTAGAGCAGTAAACCAGGTGTGGAACTTCGCTAAGTACGGGGCTCTGTGAGGCCGCTCGGGCCACATGCTCAAAAAGCCATCCCTGCCGCCACTGGCCTCCCCAGCTCCCCGGCTAACAACCAGGGTCCTAGCAACAATGTTGGCTAAAACATGCCCTGAGGCTATGGTTCAGAAGGGATCTTGGCATGTCAAGGACAAGCCATTAGATCAGTGTCAATTACCGGGACACTGTTCCTCTCCCTTGCTGTAAGTGAATGGGCATCTTTTAAAGACATTAGGGTAACAGGATGGCCAATTCTGCAGAGGTCCTGTGGGCACAAAGCAGTGTTCCCTTCCCACGTAGCCTTAGCTTTATGTAACTGCACTCACTCTGGAAGACAGCGCTCCCACCTACACTGTGCTGAAGGCATCTAGCTGTGGATTACTGTAGAAGCCCGTTTGCTACTATTGCCTTTTGCTCTCTTCTGTGTCCCCACAGACCTCATAAGCACCTGAGATGGCAATGTTGTGAGTTTCTGATGTGATCGTGCCTGTATGTTGCAGAGGTCTGGTCACTTACAGCTCAGTGTGATCCCAGCCCCTTTCACACACAGAGCTGTGACTTGATTTCCAGGCCCAGAGCTAAGCTGGAAATTAGCTGGAAATAAGGAAAGGCACCCAAAACGTAAGGTTCACAATGACTACACCAGCCTGTATTCGGCTGTCATGGACTGACCTGGTCGCAGCAGGAGACTGTGAATTTGTGCCGATGAGAGGAAGCACAGCGGATAGGAGGCACACATCAGCCCTCAGCATCTACAGGTCACATGTTCCCAGGGGACATGTGCAGGGCTCTTTCCTGGATGAGGCGTGATGCTTGCTCAAGCTTTTAGGCACAGCTTCAGTTCTTCCTGAAAAGACTTTCTAAAATTACCAGTGTGTCTCTGTGTGTGTGTGTGTGTTGCCTTTTTAGCATTACTAATTCAGATTGGTCCTCATCTCAGAAATACTTTTCACAATATTTAAAAGTCTGAAGACATTTCAAACACAACAGTGATAGTTCATGTTCCTATATTTCCTCCTTAATGAACAGCTGGGGCCGAAACCATTTTTTGTCCCTTTGCCACTAAACAAAAGTGATCCCACTTGTCTATGAAGCTGCAATTGTTGTAAGGTCAACTATTGTAAGTTTCACTGTAGTTCAAGTGAGTACTTGGATGAAGAAGATTATTACCTGGGACCTGAAAATCTTTTCTGTTTTTTTTTCTAAAACCATTAAAAAATTTTTTTAATGATTATTTATTTTTGAGAGACAGAGAGAGACAGAGAGAAACAGAATGTGAGTGAGGGAGGGGCAGAGAGAGATGAAGACACAGATTTCAAAGCAGGCTATAGGCTCTGAGCTGTTAGCACAGAGCCCGATGTGAGGCTTGAACTCACAAACCCTGAGATCATGATCTGAGATGAACTTGGATGCTTAAATGACTGAGCCACCCAGGTGCCC